GGCCTACCATGCCCTGGCTCCTGATCCACCTGGTGAAGACCCCTGGGGTCATCACCACCTGTGTCACCAGGAAAGGGGCTATTGGGACTCACTTTCACTTTTAATAGATTAGTATTTGAGCAACAGATTAATCAGTGAGGATAGATTAATATTTAAGTAATATAGATTGACATTAAAATAATCTGAACTCGCTGAAGGAGAAGATTAGTTAGTGATCATCCCACAGGGCGACTCTACGTCCTGGCGGGGTCTCAACTTTCATCTGAAGAATATAGTTCCCATCCATCACCGCAGCGGTGGCAAGGACCACCAAGCTATTCGCGTGAGACACCCGCTGGCTCGCCTCGCCTCGGCGTACAGGTAACATGATTCCTACACGAAGGCTTATCTGACCACCTACTTTTTCTCTAAAGATGACATAATAAGTTTTCCTTGTCTCTCACTGTAGGCAACGAAACTATATTTCCTTGATGTATTTTATTCCCTTTTTTCTTGGTTTTAATATGTTTTAGTTTTTTATATTAATAACAGATGGCTTTTGATTTATATTAGATTTGGAAAAGGCATATGATAGGGTGAACAGAAAAGCATTATGGGAGGTATTACAAGTGTATGGGATGGGAGGAAGGCTATTAAATGCAGTAAAAGCATTCTTTAAGAACAGCAGGACAACAGTATGAGTAAATGGGAAAGAAAGTGAAACATTTGAAATAAATGTGGGTGTTAGACAGGGATGTGGTATGTCCCTGTGGTTGTTCAATATAGATATGGCTGTGAACTATTATACACTGGTGAAAGTGGTGATAATAAGCTTTCTTACAGGGCTGTACACATCTCAAATCGGGACAATAAAGAAGCCAGGTTGTCACTATTTATTATAACTGGTGACTGTTTCTGTTTATGGCTGGGCACTGAGCCTCTGATTCTAATGTGGTCAGATCATGTTTTACACGGGTCCAGACAACCCATTGACTGACGAAAAGCCTGATACAACACACAATATTGATTCTTAATTTGGTACAATTCTTCGTGTACTGTATAAGCAAAAATAAATGATGGTGACATGGTTGATAATATTGTCACTGTGTTTGACGTAGCCTGTTACAGTACCTGACCATTGTATTTTCTTTCCATTGCCAGGGACAGGTTCCTGGGTGGGTTACCCCTCAGTCACTATACCATACAATGAACACTCTCCTGGGGGGTGGCTAAATCACTGGCGCTCTACTTGGCTTCCTGCTATCATCTTCAAGGGCTTTGTCCGTCCACCTCTGAAATTCAAGGAAGCCCTCCGCTGGAATTTAGTGGTTTTTGACCATTTTCTCAAGCATTATAAGTCTGACTCTGGTGATTTTGCTAGCTTTATACCCGAGGAGTTGGTTCCCTTTTACGGTAAAACTTCAATAGGAACAATACAGCAGATGCTATTCCAAGGTAGGCAATACGCATTCCAGGACGCTACAGTATATCAAGAGGCTACAACACAACACAAGATGAGGCCTTAAAGAAACAATTTTTAAAAATTTCATTTATTTTTGTAGCATTTTTAAAGTTTGTGGTCTGGTCGCACGACAATGGACTTGCTGACATACACTGGACCAGTGTTTCCACTTTTAAGGAATATCCCTGATTTTAAGGAATTTCTGGTCTAGTAAAGCATGATATGGAATTTTCCCAGGAATTTGTAAAATCTAAGAAATTTTAAGGAAAATCAGCTTTGTGATATCTAATATGTTCTTGGGTGTTTCAGTGAGAAGTGCATACCAATGCAAAATGTCATTGGTTTCTGTGCAGATACATGCAACACAATGTTTGGGAAAAAACATTCGGTGTCACAACTGCTGGTGAGCAATTACCCATGGCCATGGATACTGCCAGTAAAATGTTCTTGTCACTTGATTAACTTGTGCTCTTCTCATGCATCATTGAAGCTTCCAAAACCATTAGAGGATTTTTGCAGAAATATTTACTCACATTTTCATGTATCTTCACAGAGGCGTGATGCACTGAAAGAATTCCAGGACTTTCTAGATATTGATAGGCATCAAATCTTAAGAGCTGGACTCACTCGCTGGCTGTCAATGAAGGCTTGTGTTAACAAGATATTAGAGCAATATGATGCATTACAGCTTTATTTTCAGAATGCTGCATTTGAGGATCCCACAAACACAAATGACAGCATTTTGAGAAAGCTCAGTAACAAGTCTACCAGAGCTTATCTTGAATTCATGTCCTTTAACCTTGGTAGGCTGGTTTCATTCTTTCAAAGTGACATACCATTGTTGCACTCACTTAAAAAAAAGTGTCTGGTCTGATATCAGCATTGTGCTCAGATTTCATGCAGTACTCATATCTTAGAGAGACTGATATTGATAAAATTGCTCGTAAGCAAGAGCAGCACTATGTTCCACTGAGCAAAGTTTACATTGGCATTGCAGCAACAGATACTTTGAACAGCATAACCAAAGACATAGGAGAGAGCCACCCTGATGTACAATTGTTTCTCACTCATTGCAGGGAATTCCTAATTCAATGTGTGCAGCAGATTCATTTGAGGTTCAGTGATCTTGAAAAGTTTAACTTCCTTGAATGTCTGTCTCCTTCCACTGCATGGAACATGAAAGTGCCATCTTTGCTGCATTTATTAAAACAAATGCCATATCTTAAAGACATTGTTGATATGCAAACTTTGGACAATGAATGGAGGCAGCATGCTATGTGCCCTTATGTTGCTAGTGCTATGAGCATTCAAGATTATTGGCTCTTCATCTTCAGGCAAAAAATGCTGTAAGAAACCAGATGTATCCTAACTTGTCTAAAGTAATGTCTGCTTTTTTCCTTCCCATTCTCTAATGCTTCTGTAGAAAGAGTTTTTAGTCAGCTTAAGCTTATCAAGAGAGCTCACAGAGCAGCTCTAAAGCGCCCAAGCGGCTAACAAGCCGATCAGTGGCGAAGAGGATAAAAAGGTAAAAAAATGAGTCTTCTGTCTTATGACATCAAAACTGTGGTTGCAGCAAAGGGGGAGCCGTGTGGCTGCAACCTTAGATCCTCCCAAAGAGATGCTTAGCTTCATTCGAGAATGGTAGCAAATGTAGATGATGAAGAAACTGCTAATTTGAGTAAGAAATTTCTTGAGGAAATAAGTAGAGGTCAAAGTGTGAGATAATTACTGCCATTTGGAATACAAATTAATTGAAACTCTTCATGCCTATTCTTGTTTTCATTGTACCTTTTACCAAATGTACTTATGCATAGGAATGTATATTTAGAACACCAGAAAAATATGATAACACCATGGTGTTGTAGTGGATTCCTCCCCTACAAATGCTTGTCGCTGAGTAGCCGACCCCGCGAATTCCCCAGTGTATGCCTCGTGGTCTAGGTCAACCAGCGCCGCCATACATCACGGAGGTCAACTATTAAGCCACCTCTCTTTCTACCTACAGCCAGTCTTCAAGTAACACCACCTCCTCCGCTCCTGCCTAGCGGCCCTCGCTTCCGCCGGCGAGCATGGCGACCCACAGGCTGGTCCTCCTCTGAGCATCCTCACCAACCAGCTCCCTCTACATCACGCTTGTAACCACGCTGCCACTTCCCAGCACCAAGCTGCACTGTACATCCAATACAATAGGTATACAGAGAGCACATTGTGAGTTTCCTTTCTGCATCCCATCCTGAGTGTGAACCAAACAACCCGCACCACAGTGTAAGGCAGGGCTAAGTACTGCTAGTTACTGTGGCTGGAAGCATTGGCATCTTTTCCTAAACTATTTTGTCTTCAGTATTGAAGCATTATTTTATTCATATATTTGCCTGTACATAAGATATGTAAAAAAAAAAAAAATTATATATATATATATATATATATATATATATATATATATATATATATATATATATATATATATATATATATATATATATATATATACAAAACCAAAAATCTAAGGAATTTTCATGGAATCCCAGGAATTTTTTAAGCTCATCTGAGAAATTTAAAATATTGAGGGTGGAAGCACTGCACTGGACGTCCTTCACAGAGACCTACGATCTGTGCTGGAGGAAGACCAGTACATCTTAAGGCTGGAAAACATTAGCCCATTATTATCTCCTGCGTCGTGTGCTGGTCTACCAGGAAGCAGCAGTCTTAACCGTCTCCACACCAGTAAAACTTACCCCTTCGACCAGTACTATAAAGATGTGCCTGGCGACGTAATGTACATGCTATTAGAATTACGATTTTGAATTATTTGGGTATAATTATAATCGATTTGTAGTCACTAAAATGATTTTATTTTTTCCACCAAATTTTATTTATTTATTTATATTTTTGTATCACTACAGTTTATCCCAAATTTATATTAAAACGTGTATGCACGAATAAGTCGGGATTTTTCTTAATTTTTACTACTCGAACTAGTGGCGGTAAGAGCAGCCCGGGCCAACACATAAGAGGCCAAAATACCCATAAAAGAACTCACTTCTTTATTAAACTACACAAAAAGATTTACCGGCATTATAAAACATACAACCCTGCATCAAATATTTTCCAATCATTAATAACGTGATCTTTGTCCATAATTATGAATGACCTTCACTGGCACGTGAGTTTGTTGATAAACATTTGAAATCTGACAGACGTGCGTAGCGCAGTGGACTATTAATGTAAATTACTTCTAATAACCTAAAATATATTTAACTGAGTCATATCATTTAGTTAGTAATACACTCGTTCAACATTAATTAACAATTACGAGCTCTGTGCAGTGAGCTGAAGGAGTTAGTAAGAAAAATCTTGGGCTTGTATCCCTACAAATTATTATTATTTTTTTATTACATCGAATAAATATGTCATGCATGTTTTATAAAATAAAGAAATATCACACCATCAAGAACCTTAAGAAATATGTATCGGTATACTTGTTAAAGCCTAAACATCTTAGAGTGAATATAGTACGGTAGGGAGTGAGATATAATTGAGTATATTTCACACTGTGTACAAGGCTTCACACCCGGACGCACCAACCTTGGCGCGCTTTTCTAGGAGCTGCGGGGTGACCAGCGTTTGTTTACCTTCACCAGACGTCTCCAGTTTTCAATAAGTTTGCAACATGGGAATATTGGGACTAGCGAAGCTTATAGCAGATGCTGCACCGAGCGCTGTGAAGGAAAATGAAATGAAGAACTTCTTTGGTAAGAGGAGTATTGAGTTACCAACATAAGGCACACACTACCTTACTGTATGTGTGGGGATTGAGGTCTTACAGGCTGCATTTAAGAAATAACTTGATTTGAGGATAACACGTGTATGGCGTTATGAGTAAAATAAACGACATGTGGATTTAGGGAGAATAATTAATCTTTCTTCAGTGATTCCCAAATAGATGAATGACAATTTAAACAAACCCTAGTCAAACTTGGAAAAAAATAGTAAGACTATCGCACCAAAATATGTAACTTGAGGATTTTTTTTTATGTAGAATATGAAGGCTTTCTTACCCCATGATAAAGCCGAAAAATTCGGAGCAAGTTTTTTCGGGTAATACTGAACAGATAGTTAACACCAAAAGTTAATTTTTTCCACAGATGTTAACATAAGAACATAAGGAAATAAGGAGTCTGCAATAGGCCGGTTGGCCTGTGCATGGCAGCTCCTGTCGAGAGTTACTACCACTCTCTATCATCCATGAATCTATCTAGCCTCCTTTTGAAACTTTCCAGCATTCCAGCACTTACTACAAAGTTGCTAAGCTTGTTCCACTCGTCCACCACCCTATTTGTGAACCAGTGTCTTCCTATCTCTCTCCTAAACCTAAACTTATCCAACTTAAATCCGTTGCTTCGAGTCCTATCCTGCTCGGATATTATAAGAACTTTATGTATATCCCCTTTATTGATTCCTTTCACCCACTTGAATACTTCTATCATATCTCCCCGCACTCTTCGTCTTTCTAGGGAATGCAAGCAAGTTTCTTTAACCTATCCTGATATGGAAGGTTTCTAAGTCCCGGAATCATTTTCGTCATTCTTCGCTGCACCGACTCTAGTGAATTGATATCCATTCTATAATAAGGGCACCAGAACTGAACCGCATAATCGAGGTGCAGCCTGACTAGCGCAAGATATAGTTGCAATAAGACCTCTGCACTCTTATTACTTACACTTCAAGATATAAAACCCAATACTCTGTTTGCCTTATTTCAAACATTAACGCACTGTTTTCTAGGCCGTAGGTCCGGTCTTACAAGTACCCCGAGTTCTCTTTCACAAGTCGACTTCTCTAAGTTGATGTTGTTAAGGCTGTATACATTGTCAGTATTTGTTCTTCCAATATTAAGTACGCTGCACTTGCTGGGTGATGGTAATAAAAACTATATGACAGTGCACAGAACTTATAGAACCTGATCTAACCAACCTAACCAAAGAAACCTTCCTAACCGGTGCGGTAATACTGCAGTAAACAGCAACCACAGAATTCTGGAAATTCACTACACTCAATTGAAAGAAATATTTTTTCTATGATAATTTTATTATAATAATCTAATGTAATATTTACTACATTAGGTTAGGTTAGGCAACACATATTTTTTATTAAATTCTTTGGTTGCTGTAATCTTCAAATTTACCACCGGTACTACTATAGAGTGTGGTTTACAAAGACATCTTTAGTCTAACCTAACCTAAATATCTTGTAGACCGTACACTATAGTAGCACCTCCAAACCTTACCTAACTTCCTAGCCAGCAGCACCCCCAGCATATTAAGTATAAAGAACTTAGTTTGATATCTGGTATCAATGAAAGCAAATTTCTTGAAAAATGATGTAATTTTACGTTTTTTTTTTTTTTTTGAGGTGAGAGTACAATCGGTTATTGCACTGAAACAAACAAACTAAGCGGATTACAACACGACAGATTTTTTGGCAGAATATTTATGGTAATTAATTAATTTCTTCATGTAAACATTTTTTAATTTTTTTAGTTTCATGTGATCAGTTTTTCACTGTTTTACCCTGCAATTTCCCGTAGCCTTCATGTTCAACCCACTACAGGTGATTTATGATCGCACATAGAGAAAACAAAAATAAAATAAAAAGTGTATTATTTTTAAAAGTGTATTATTTCCAAAGAACATTGTGGAAAAAATGAACTAAATCAAACAACTCCTTCTGGTGTTAGCCATCTGCTCCACTAATATACTTTACTGTCCTGAACATAATACCTGTACATGGCCACACACTATGATGTCAAATAACTCCTCTCTGTATACATGGGACATTTTGTTTCTTCCACAGGAACACTTCCCCAAATTTACCAAATACTGTTACATTAGGGGATATATCATTTATTGGTAATGAAATAATGCAACCTAGCTTACCTAATTACCTAACCCACCTTTCCTACCTTAGGTCGGCTCATTTTATCTTATAAATCATGCAATGTGGTACAGGTAGTAGTAACGGTAAAATTTTAGTTTCGGTCATCCTTGTATTTACATATC